AAGACCAAAGGGCCATAACTCTGTATATGCATGCAGAGAACAAAGGATCATAACTGCAAATATATATATATAGCAAAGGGCCATTAATCTGTATATACATATATAGAACCAAGGGTCATAACTCTGTATATACACAGAAAACTATGGGCTACAATTTGCCATGTTCATGTACTGAACAAATTAGCTGAATTCTGTATATGCATGCAGAGAACAAAGGATCATGACTCTGCATACCTCTAAATATAGGAGGAAGACAAAATGCTGTAATAGTGGTACTTAATATTCTGTTCATGTAGTAAATTGAGAAACCCAAATTCATAACAGAACATTCTGTCATCCAAAACTTGGCAAGGGTTAGTGACAGGAAAGCTGATGAGATGTGACTATATAAATTACCACAGGAGAGATATACATCCACAAACTGACAGTGCAACATGCTATTTCTATGTTGATTTCTTTGTTTACTAGGTTATCACACAAGTGGATACCTCACTCTACATCCTAAGCAATTGCATTTTGCTTTCAAAAGCAATTGGAGTTAATTGCCTTGCCCAAGGTCATAACCACTTGCCCTTCACCACTTTAAAAATAATCACTAATTTTTTTATTCAGCCGATGACTACACAGTACACTTTCACAACATGAGATAGCAGAGGGATCTTGGCATCCACCATCGTTTGATCTTTATTTGTTCTTTGAATCTTTTTTTTTTCCTTTTCTTGTTTCTTGCTCTTGATTATATGAAATTTGAAAATGCTTTTTAAGAAATAATGATAACAATCTTTACCTGCCAAATCTAGGACGGTTGCTTTTCAGCCACTTTGTTTTTCTGATCAGTTCTATAATCCAATTGGAACAACAACAGACAAAGGGGAACCTACACATATAATTTTAAAAAAGATCTTTACTTATATTCTTAAGAAATTCAATATGGTCCCCAGTCTGCTGTGTTGTTATTCTGACCAATCGCAAAATTGAAAGTGTAACACTTAAGACCACGGGAACCTATACATATGAAATTTGAGGAAGATCCATATACTACTTCTTAGAAAAACAGAGAACTAATTTTCATCAGCAAAATCTGAGATATCCATTTCTCAGCAATCTTCTTTTTCTAATCAATCCCCCCAAAAATCAAATTGGAACAACTAGGAACCAAGAAGAACAAACATATGAGATTTAAGAACGATTCATCAAGTATTTCTCAAAATATAGCTATTTCAAACATAAATAATTACAGTACAAGAAGACATGCTGTATGCAATTTCCCCCCAATCAGTAACACAAGTTAAAAAAATACCCTTTACAAGAAATAGCAGTAACAGACTTCATCTGTTAAAATCAAAGATGGCCACCAGTCAGCCATTTAATTCTTCTGCTCAGACTCAAAAACTCAACAAGGGAACAAGGGAATCCTACCGACAAAGTTTGAGAACTATCCTTCCTCAGTGGATGGACCACAGACCGAGGGTGATTTCAACAGCTTACCATCTGATTGTCGGCGAAAAAGGTTTCATTGCAAAATTTCAATTGGCTTGAAAAGTCTTATTTTATTTCTCTCCCTATAATCTAGTTTGAACACTTTTCGTTTATAAGTTGGCTAACCAGAGTAAAACTTTACACAATTGCAGTATAAGGTGTAAGGTTAAGATTGTTGCAGTCTCTCCTTCACCTCTTTCCTCCTACTCACTCTGTTTATACACATGTCAGACACTAAACAAGTTACTGAAGCAGACAGAATTCCTGACAGACAGTACCTTATCACACACAAGTCACACTACCATAACATTCCCATGTGCATTTCTGCTTTGATCCCTGTCTACTTTCTCGGTACCATTAGATTGGGTGTGGCAGCATACAGACTCCTTCAACCACCTGTCTGCTGGATCAGCTGTACACAGCTATAATAACACTGTACTTAACTGGCTGGGAGGTGTTTAGGGGTAGAATGCTATACACTGCTTAATATTAAAACATAGTAACAGTCTATCCAAATATTATCACGTTTATAATCATTACAAATGGTTTGTGTCTATAAAGTCTACACGGCTATCAGCACCTATATAGTATCATGGCTATTCCCCATCACAGTCTCCACACAGTGACTTGTGTAAGTCTACATGGCTATCAGCACCTATATAGTATCATGGCTAATCCCCATCACAGTCTCCACACAGTGACTTGTGTAAGTCTACATGGCTATCAGCACCTATATAGTATCATGGTTATTCCTCATCACAGTCTCCACATAGTGACTGGTGTAAGTCTACACAGCTATCAGCACCTGTGTAGAATCATGCTCATTATTATGGTTCCCATTTTCCATCAGGGAAATGTTTATTTGTGATCGAACAGAGTCTCCCATAAAGTGTTGTCTACGAGATGACTGAACGATTGAAGATGCAGGATAAGATGTAACTGATAGAATTTAATTCAAGCAAGGTGCCCTGGGGATTTAATGGTGCCCAGGGGATTTAATGGTGTCAGGGGGATTTAATGGTGCCCAGGGGATTTAATGTCACAAACTCACAAACCGAAATAGTTGGAATTAATGTGTAACACAGAAAATGAGACATTCTAATTGTACAAGGAATAGAGACTTTTACATACCGATGACCTTATAAACTATTGTATATTTTACTGCCTCCTTAGAAGGAAATGTGATACCCTAGAGACCAAAGGTCGTGAAATGTTGGTAAACAACCTCTAGACCCTTCAATCCAAGAAGGGTATTTGATTCTACCTTATCTGGTTACTGAGAAGAAGATTTTTGAAAGTTCAGTTGATTTCATCCCAAGGGATGTATAAGTATTGTTTGTGTATAGTTAGAGTATATGATTGTACACAAAACATTTAATTTAGCCATCTTTTAAAAAATTACTGAATTTTTCAGCCTTTGATGAAATAGTATTATTGTTATTTGTGTCTATAATTCATTTTCAGTATCTCTATCCCTCAGCATTCAAGGTACTAACACAGGAAACTTGGGGCAAATTCTGCTTCCTAAAACAAAGGTCAGATAATCATGTGAAATATTTAATTGCCTGAAGATTATAAATGAAAGAGGTATGATGTTTACCCTGGCTTAATGGTCGATCTAAAAATACATGGCTAATGACCACAGGTAAACACAGAATTGGAGTTAGTGTATACATCCCGATAGTGGTGTGTTTATACTGTGATAAGTCACTGGCTAGGAAATGTACACGAAAAGACAAAACAAAACAATTCAATGGCCAAATCAATGCTTAATATATGGCTTTATAAAGATACATTGAACATAAAGGTCATTTTATCCTACCTCCAACACTATCAGCTAAGACTAAAGTCACTACTAATATCATATATCTTATCGACTGCATTCATAATCACCTGAGGTAATGGGTCGAGTTTAGGCAAGTTATCATTGCAATGCATATGAATGATTAAATAAATGACACTGGTTACTAGAATTAGGTTATTACAAAGATTGATTTAAATAGGACTATGAAAATATGACTATTTTATGAGTAAAGACTTCCTGCCTGTGCTATAGAAACTGTTGAAGAGATCATCAACATTGTAATGGTAAATTCAAAATGGAAAGCAGAGGTTTGTAATATTTTTAGTCCAATTCAATTTTTTAGTTTTCCAATGTCAGCACACACTTATACCTGTTTTTGAGGATAAAATTTATGTAATCATACCGGCTTAGGTTCAGCTACCTAAAAGTTGATCTGTGTATGCACTATGTGTCATAAATGCATTAAATGTTGTTAAACACTGATGTTTTGATGCACGGTAAAGCTTAAGGTACCAAGTTTGATGATTCGTTAAAAAATAATGTGAAGCATATCCTTGATAATTTTTCTGATAGTTGGCATCATGATGTAACCAACACAATTTCCTATCCAAATTCACTCCAACGGAAAATTCATTTTTCTATTTTATTGTTGGTTACAGTTTGGTCACATCAGGCATAATACACCATATCTCTTTATCTTAACAGCAAACAGAGATAAGTTCATGCAGTAAGCCTCCAGATGATCCATTACTATGAATGACCTTCTACTAAATTATATGACAAGGATATAAAATGGTTAACTTGTAAAATAAATACGATACTAAACAATTTCATCCCTCCATACTTTTGTACACACTGCATCTACCAAGTATTTAAAAACAATTTTTTGAAGTTCATCCATATATAGAAATATTGCCGTTGATTCTATATAATGTAATTCATCGTCCTGTAGAAGGAATGTGTTGGCCCTCTAGGCTGATTGTAGGACAGCTAAGGTGTATAATTACAGACGATGAACTACGTCCTATCCTACACGTCAGAAACACTGAAAATACATATAACGTTGACTTGGTACTGTAAAATCTTACACAAAAAGGTGTAACTGATACTACTGTTGTAATTCTAGGTATTTAACAGATGATAGCCGAGTTTACCTGTACATGTGTAAGTATGAATTAAATACCACTACACGGAAACTACAAATAAATTTAAGCCCTCTTATTTAAATAAACACTTTCATACACTCATCAGTTGACTGGAATCTGATTGTCATCTTAAGAATCAAGGCTGGTGTGAAGACAAAACACAACAAAATAACAGAATGATTACCTTTCTTCCTACGACGTAGTCTCATCGTTGCCGTTAAAACTTCATCCAAATAAAGAATTTGACGGCCACTCCTAAGTGATGTGGCTCACAATAAAACACACTTGATTGCTTCAATGCTTCCCGTAATAGTGATCTACCAGAGAACTAAATCCACTGTATATGTAGCACCAATTCTAAAGGCCAGGACCACCATTAAAACAACAGGGAGGAGCTGTATATCTCTGGCCTCAAACCATGTGACCTGAAGTTTAAATGAAGGCTAGCCACAAACAAACAGGTATACAGCTATCTGTGTTGTGTGTGAGATGGGCGGTATGTAAGTAGGGCACACACACACCTGTGTTGATGAGATCCAGGAGACTGAAGCACCCTCGTGAGGACATACATAAGGACACACATGTGTGTTGTGCACGCTTGGGGCTGATCATGTTCTTAAGATACAGACATTGATTTTAACTGAAATTTCTCTCTACACACTACAGCAGGCATCTGGCAATTCATTTGTGAGCCATCATATATATTTGTCCAACAGACTGGTAAGTGTACCTCATACCATCTCTAATCTCTCAAGCAGAAAGCGTGGCAAGCCTTCACCTACTTGTCCTAATTTATGCTTTCATCTACTTGTCCTATCTCAAGCCTACACCCACTTGTCCTAACTCCAGCCTTCACCCACTTATCCTTACTCCAGCCTACACTGACTTGTCCTAACTCCAGCCAACATCCACTTATCCTAAATCAAGCCTTCACTCACTTTTCTTAACTCAAGCCTATACCCACTTGTCCTAACTCCAGTCTACACCCACTTGTCCTAACTCAAGCTTTCACCTACTTCTCTTAACTTAAGCTTACACCCACTTGTCCTAACTCAAGCCTACACCCACCTGTCCTAACTCCAGTCTACACCCACTTATCCTAACTCCAGCCAACACCCTCTTGTCCTAACTCAAGCCTTCACCTACTTGTCCTAACTTCCTGTAGATACATTAGCCACATTCTAGCCAGTTATTTCTTAAGCTTCCACTTTCTGATGTACAGCCAGATCATTTAATCAATTATTGACATATATTTTTCCATGTTATTATAAACCAGTATAATGACCCCTTTATTCTTTCTTCGTCTAAGTACTTATGTAGGTCAATGACATATGGTAGGTATTTTTTGAAACAAATCATTTGTCTCCTTTGTAAAGGAACTGAGGTGAAATGAATATAGTGTCCCAGGATCAAAAGATTGGGGGCATATTGATTTTGTAATGTTTGTTTGTTTGTCTGTTCTCAACTTTAACCTTGCCTGTAACCATTTCATCGTAGAGGTAGGGTTTTCATATTTTGCATTTGTGTTCCTTGTGACAGGAACTTTCTGGTTGTATCAGAATTTTTGATCATGTGACCTTGACAGTGACCTTTGACCTACATTAAAAAACAAATTTACATTGGCCTTAACTATTGCATGATAAGTTGTATAGTTTTCATATTTGGCAAGTGTCTTCCTTGTGACACGACCTTTCTGGTGGTATCAAGATTTCTGATCATGTGATTTTAATTTTGTTGCAACTGGGAGGGGATGGGGTATAGTGTGTCATAAGCACATTTTGTTCTATCTTTTGCCCAAATTCTGCATAATAGTATTCATCAACCAATAATTATAAGCAAGCGATGTCTTATATTGCTAGAATATTCTGAGGATCAGCATAGGGTATCAGTATAACCTGTAGAAATATTTCAGTGATGGTATAGGAATGAGGATACACCTAGTGGGCAAATCCAAGTTGAAAAGTAAGTGTGAGTTGTTATACTGAATAAATGTAAGGGTTCTGACCATGTGTTTGGTTTTTGTTAAATGCTGTTACATAATAATCTCACTACAACTGATATGGTGCTGCTCAAATATGTTCCAATCCCTTATTTACAGACTGTCAAAAGTACCTGTTACGCATGAGTGAGGAATTCAATGAGATGGCCGTTCATGTGGTACATGTGATGTCAAAGTCTTACTTTGAGTAACTGTGTCTGATATGTAGGCAGCAGTACAGGTGGTAGACACTTCTCAAAAGATCCTGTTTTTTTTGTAAAAATACCCTTAACTGAAAGTGATATATTCTACTTTCACATTATATAAAGTTATACAAGAACTCAGGAAAATAAAACAGTTTAGAGAAAACAAAATAAGTGGAAAATTCACATTGAAGGATCCTTAGTCGACGATATTCCAGTACACCTATATGCCATAACATCTCTGAATACAAGATCATGGTATGAACAGCTGTTAAGTTATGAAATAAATTTTTGATATATAACATAGAATATGATAATACAAATGTTTAAGATTTTCATTATTATTTCGGCTTGTGAGTTTTTGGAGGTATGACAATGGACATCAATTTCAGAATGGCCATTTTGTTGAGGTGTATCACATGCACTATTGACCTGCCTGACCTTGCACCCCAATAGTTTTGGTTGCTGTAACATGACATGCTTTCAGAAAGAAGAAAAATATTGATTTAAACCAAGGATGCCAGCACACTAGAACAAGATGTTTTTAACGAGACCTGTCCATCATGGTTTGTGACTGAAACACATCATCTAGAAATGTCATTTGCAACCGTATACAGGATAACCTTCTCATGGATTTAATTAATCCTACCTTTTAATATGAATCACAGTAATATCTTCTTAACTATCATGGTTGCTTCTGAAGTCATAACGGAAGTTTACAATAGTCTGTTGCATCTGTGGATCAATTAGTCATCAGCTCAAATTCTAGAACGACAGCCATGCTTATTTATGATAAGAATGGCTTTGCGTAACTTACTAGAAATAATCGCTAATATCTAACAGTACTGACATTGATGAAAGCTAGTGTGCTTCATTGAATTTGCCTTTGTCCAGGTGACATTCATAAGCCCTTGAATGCCAACTGAAAGCAGTTCAATGCTTAAATACCTGTCTTAGATGTCATGACACAATAATTTACCTTATGTAATCATTAATTATGGCATTTAATCTAATTAAAAGAAACAATTAAGATAACTAGATTAAGGCGTTGAGTAATTGCGGACTTTGTTGTTTACAGAACTGAACAGAGCCGTGTCTGGTTATTGGTTCCCTTTCAAAAGAAAAAAAACACTTTATTTTGCACTGTCAAATGTCATTATACGTAAAAAAATAACTATATACAATACCTTATTTCATGCATCATATGACCTCGTTTTGCATTAAAAATAAGAATAATCACCAGACTAAGCTATAAGGGACAGGATCAGCTTCTGTGGTGATCTGTGTGCTGAAAGAGACGGGATACAGCAGACCTACTTCCACATATGTTCAGTATTTCCAAAAACAGAAGGGCCCATATATTGCAAACTGACCTCATCAGTAGGGATATGATACATAGGTTTTTTTTTCAAAATAGACCTATATTTACTGCATATCCGCTGTAGTGCAACATTTCTACTATGACAACGTTGCTAAGAATAACATGAATGTCCGCAGTGTTCAGGATATTAAACATGGAAAGATGTTCAAATAGTTATTGCTTTCTTTTGGCTCTGATGGCATTGTACACAAAACTTAGTTTTGGGAAACAATTGGCCTATAAATAGACCTAGTCTATGAACATGCCTTGTTTGTGAACAGTGTGCATCACGTCTTCAAAGAAAAAATATTATTTCATAAAAAAAAAAAAAAAAAAGATCTGATGATGGTGGGTGAAAAACATTTACTAGTAAACTATTTCAAATTAGACCTCAACATGTGACTTAAAATATTTTGTCAGTGAAATATCTAAAGTCTACCTGTGTCTATTGTGACCTTTGAACTAATAGTTAAATGTCTTTTCTTTGGTTTCAGTCAATTATGCTTCATTATGTCATAGTAAATGTTTACCAATAACATTCAGAAATAAGATATTTTTATTGTATAGTTCCAATTGCTATTTACAGTAATAGTAACCTTGACCTTTGACCTCACAATCATTAGCACTTAATGGAGTTTGAGTGCAATTGGCCAAACATAACTTGAGATATTGTGCAAAAACAAAAAATGGAAAAAGACAAATAGACAGACAAAATTGACAGAAAGATGAACAATCTACTTTAGGGCATTCCATCTCCAAAGCAGAGCCATATCTAAGAACATTTCAGTTCAATGGCTTCACTTGAGTGTATTAGGGCAAGAGAATTTTATTGAATAGAAAACAAAAACTTTTCTGTTCATCTTTTTGTCTTAATACACATACATTAAGGATTACAAGTAAAGAGATTGGGATGACCAACTCTATAACTAGATTATCAAAAGAGCTTTAATGGTGTTTTCTTTGACATTACATTTTGTGATTGCTACTGATATAACTTTGATCTATGTAAAGCCTAGAAAAATACTACAATGTAAGTTTGTAAAAAGTTCACTATTCATTGCTGAACTTTATACATATATTTTTACATTCTGTCATGATTGTTTACTGATCATCAAAATTAATACAAAACACATTAATCTAACACATCAATTAGAGTTATAATTACAGTTGATAGGCAACAGTACATAAGAACACAAGAGTTGTCTCCCTTTAGCATCTTATTGATGGTAACTTTTTACAATCTGTGAAAACTATCCTATCACATCAAAGAATATAAAAAGATCACAAATCCAATTCATACGTTAGATACTATAAGAACAAAGTGTGTGGTAGTTTTATGATCAGCAATTATTTTATAATCAGTGATGATTTATTTACATTGTAAATTACATGATAATGCAATTTCATTATCATACACAGTGATATAATACAAACATGGCAACAGTATAATGGAAATGCAGACTTTCTACTTGTTATATATTAGCAATATTTTCCTTTAACCACTCAGAAGACTGAACTTTGTTTCCATGGCAATGACTTTACTAACACTTTACATGTCAAACAAGAGAATTAATGGAAGAGCGGAGGAGTAATGTCCCTTTATATGAAAAATCTAAGGATAGTGACCAAGCTACCATGGCAACCAAAATTTCCCTAAAAAGAAGTTGTACATATACGTGGTTCAAATAGACATTGTTTGAAAAAAAATTCTGATGTTTTCATTGATTTTTCAGCACTTAATTTATGAAAATCACAAAACTTTACAAATATGGCCTTTCTTCAATGTTCGTATTGCATGCATATGAATTGAAGTATTAAATAAGTACATCACAAAATATCAAAATGGTACACTCCTTCAATCATAGTAACATTCATCAACCCCAAGTTGGATAAAAGATTAATTAAAAAACGACTTATTAGCAGATGAAAAGAATGAATGCATCACTTGAAAATGAAGTTTTTTTTGAAGAATTTTGGAAAAAAAACCAAGAATAATTTCAAACACTTCTAGAACTATTCTAGGATATTTAAACTTCTCCTGTTTTCCAAGGATCCTGTTGAATTCCAGGAGTTTTTCCAGGTCCTGCATGAACCCGATAAAATTATGGTCCTTAATATTCCTGTGTATCTCATCATTATTGATTCATAGAATAGGGTTCAAACAATGTTCATTGATGAT